GCCGGGTTTGGAGCCCCCCCCGCCATCATGTTAAGAAGCGACCCTGCCCTTAGCATGGCGGTCGGCCCCGGCGATGGGATGGTGATAATTCAGGCATTATTGGATTGGATTGCACGAGGGGGCGGGACATGGCCAGGTCCAGGGTATGTGTATGCCAGGTATCTACGTGCGAGGAGGCCGACTGCATCCCTCCTCCATCTGGCGGTCACGGCCAAGATTGGATACATGGACGCACATGCACACGCATGCAAGGCCGCTGCATGTTCCATCTAGATGCTCTGGGTGCGCGCGCAGAGTCGTGTCGGATGGGGTGGCACGCCGTCAAGCTCCGGTTTGTCATATGGGTGCGTCATGTACGTAGTAGTAATAAGTCGCGTCTCCAGTGTGTGCCAGTCATGATATGATATGATGATCGAATACAATACATGTAGTATTATGCTGTGTGTGGGGAGACGGTGATGGGATGGGATGGGTGCGGGAAGGGGTCCAGTCCAACTGAAATAGTCCCGGCTGCCAGCCAGCTGGTAATTTGCTTCGACATGAGGCGGGGCCACGAAAAGAAAAAAGAAAAGAAAAGAAAAGCAAACAAAAGAAAGGAAAGGCGGACATTGGCATCAGAGACAGGCCAGCCGAGGGAACGGCGAGGTCGCAGCACTGGCAGTCTGGACCGTGGTAGGCGTGGATGAATGGATGCAATGCACCGATGGGATGGATAGACAGGCAGGGGGGGAGGGCATCGAGTCATCACCACCTATGGGGAGTAGCATCTGGCCCGTCGCCGACTTGTCCGAAGCGTGTGGCCTGCCGTCGTATCGCCTGCGCAATTACGAGCACGAGATGCGGTGCTCTGTTGCGCCCTCAACGGCCCCAGGACAGTCTGGGGTACAGCCGCGGCGCTGCGAGATCTGCCAAGTACGTACAGCATCATCCCGTGCGATGTGACTGCTGTAGGCACTGTAGATGGCAGAAACGGAGCTAGGCCCCAACAGACATGTGCGTGCAATAATAGGGCTTATTCTGCTGATATTGGAGATGGCTCGGTGGAGGGGTTGGCGGACGCGGTGAAGTAGGCCAACAGCCCAGAACCCGGCAGTCAAGATCAATACCTTGATCAATAGTACTCAGCAGGGGCGACAATAGCCGGGAGGGTTTGGACCCTGGGACTGGGGCAGCGCATGGCAGACCGATGCGATGCGTCAGGCCTTGAGCATGGCTACTTCGAGATGATGTATATACCTGAGGATGGAGATAGGATGGGCAAAGCAAAGTGATGCAAAGCAAGCAGCCCAGATTCATGCGACGCACAAAGCAATGTGAGCAGACAAAGCAAACATCTACGCCCAGCTATGGAATGAGCTAAGCTCATAAGCAACGCCAAGCAGCAGCGCAGAACCAAAGCGCTGGCCACTCAGCAGACAGCATTGAAGACATCCAGTGCATCCATCTTGCAGGGGCCAGTGAGAGCGCCTGCAGCAGCGTCAGAGGCTGCTTCTGCGAGTCTGCTCCAGCCAACTCCCGCCCTACACGTGGCAGGCCTCAGAGAGGGATCCCCTTACCTACCTGCTTACGACTAGTGCAGATAGCGAGAATAAAGCAAACAGGCCTATACGCACAGCCAGACAGCACAGAACAAAAAAGACGGGATTCACGGAGCCTTGGTAGAAGCGTTGTGGACTTTTCCCATCCGCTGCCGATCTGATCGACGCCCACCTTGGGCCTGGAGCTTACTCCGTACCACCTACCAACATTAATAAACGCCGTCAACCCAGTCTCCTGATTGACTTGCGTTACCTGCCTGATTGGACGCCGCCTCCGTGCAGATGGACAGCGGCCAGAGACATGGATGGACGGGACTCACGGGAGTGACTTGGTTCCACCGTCAGAGGTACCTCCCCTTCCCGTGACGATCCCACCAAAGCACGGCAAAGGACCTGTTCAACGCCAAGTACATGGCACATGTGCGGTGATGGGTACTTACTTGGAGCAGACGAGGAACTGCTCGTTTAAAAACGTTTGTGACTGACGACAAGTTGGTGTGCGCCGCTTGTTGGGCGGTCACCGTCAATGGCTGCTGGGAACTGGTTCTCTTTTCTTTTTCCCATTGGTTTCCTTTCTCCCCCCCCACCCTTCTCTGCCCTTCTCCCATTGCCCTGCTTGTTGGTCTCTGCCGGCATTACATAACACGGTCCTCCATGGTCCGGGGCTGGGTCCAATTGCAATGGCTGATGATACCTTAGTGCCGTGGGATTGGCGGTCGTGGGGAGTAGCCAGGCTACGTGTGAAGGCCTCCTCCACGACCAGCATCCACTAACAACATGAGCGATTGCCGGCTGGTTCTGCGAAGTCCTTTCCCTTCCTACGTCGTAATATCATCTATGCCTATGCAGGGTATCGTATCGTATCTTTGCACCCGGTCCCTGTCAGCATGATGTATGTACTACTGGTTTGTATGTTGTAGATAGGTTGGAGTAGGTAGGGTAGTGTAGCACCGGTAGTGTTTCTGGGAGCCCATTCCACCCTCCAGGCATATACCCAGAAGGCTGGCCACGATGGCAGGGTGACTGTCTATCACAGCACCCAATTTCCAGTCTGCCTGCCGAAGCAGGGAAAGGGGACTGAGGGTAGCAGATGGAGGAGGGGCGTGGCCGCTTGCTGGTTGTGTAACACAAGCAAGTATCTTGTAGTACGTACCAGGTCAGGGCCAGGGCAGAAGGACCGGGATGAGGGGAGATGAGGCACAGAGACGGCCAAGGCCAGTCCTGGGAAGAAGAGAGGGCGCCCTATGGTGACGACCCAACAAGCTGGGGTCTGCTAGCTCTGTACGCGGGAAGCCGCTGTTGGGTGTTGATTTATGAGATGATTGCCGTTGCTCGAGGTGGTAATGGCGGGAGGATGGGGCAGGAGACGGCAATTCGAGGACCCGGAGATAGAGGTGTCAAGTATCATCGACCTGTGAACGCACAGTCAGGCAAGCCGAGCAGAGTAGTAGAGTAGAGTAGAACAAAGCCTTCCTTGCAGTGCAGCAACGGCGGCAGAGAGACTGGCTGTCCCAACGGGGCATACCGTCCCTTGAGCGAGACACAGCGAAGAGCTTCGCACACACCCCGTCCGGGCTGCTCGCATACATGACCTGCTCGAGGCCTCCCCTTCCTCATCTTCTATCTTCCATGCCATCAAATCACATAAACCTTCTTTGCTCTCCCCCTCTCCGCTCCCTTTCCCTCTTTCGTATCTTCCTCTTTCTGGCCTTTTCGTGCTGTCTCGACTTGCCCACCAGTAATTGAACCACCGCTCGTCTCGACCAACACCTTTGGCACTATTGGCCGCCAAGGTAAGTTTTCCACTTTGCTCGGTCATGATCCGTCTGGCCCTGGCTGCCCTTGAGACGAGCGAGGCCAAGCAGAGAAGCATGAGCTCCCCTGCTTTTCTTTGATGCCGCCGTTGCTGGCTGTTGGCCGCGCCGACCCTCCTCACCACCTGCTTCGGCTTGCTTGCTTGCTCCCCATTAGCTGCACTGGCCATCGTCATGACCTTTGTAGTTGGCATCCATCTCTGCACTAACAAGCAAGCCACCAGCACACCACAGAAGTCCCTTGTCATCTCCTCACCACCTCGAACCGCTGCGCTGGGCCTGATCGTCAGCCTCTGGTTTTTATTTACTCATCCCCATCAAAGAGGGGCCCAGGGATCCAGGGAATGTGCTGGGCTGGGATTTGAAACTGCATTATATACCTACATACATATAATTATTACATCCACACATCCAGGGCACCACCATTCGCCCAGTATCGCATCACACCACCCTTCGCTGTTGCTTTATTCGGACCCGCCGCCCTCCAATCCTCCATTTCCTCCGAAGCTTTTTTCTTTTCTTTTCCTTCACCAGCGTATTTTAGTGAGCAAGCGCTTGCTGGAATATATTTTCTTTTCCCTCCTCTCGTCGCCTCGCCAGCCCGCCCGTCGTCGATCTCTACCTAGTATTCTTGCCCGTCACTTACAACCTGCAGCTACCGACAATATTTCGCCGACCGCCTGCCCCAGCCCCGGAGTTGGTCAATCCAACATCGCATTCGCCCGAGTTGACCTATCATAACCTCGACCAGTCATTAGCCCACCTTTCAACGCCAACGCTGATCATCAGTCTTCCAACGCTCGTTCCGCTATTCGTCGACGCTACCAGGGCCATACCATTTTCACGTATTTGCAGATACGACCAGCAGTGATTGGCAGAAGAACATTCGGAAGGTGATTCCTCCCGGTATGCACTCCATTCATGCTCTGATCTTCCCATGGGGTGACCGCCCTCTCGATTTTCGGATCCGAATGGCTCACAATTCTCCTCCACAGAACATTTTCCTTCTCCCATACGGCCTCGGTCAATTCAGTTCCAACGAGAGGCACGCCGCATCCTCCACCACCAGAAACGGCAAGCAGAGCAGGCAAACACGGCTGCACCACCAACTGAGACCAGAAGATTGGGCTCCATTTCAAAGCGGGTAAGACCGTCGCCCCGCATCCACTAATTCCCAGCTAGAGGCTAGCAGGGTCACGTCACTAAGCAGGTCACCTTCAGCCCGCTAGCCAGTGCTAGATTCCCACAGCGCTAGACCTCGCTTCCGAGCCATCGTAGATTGTTCCCGCGCACTGGGATTTAGGCGGTTCCAAACCTGCTCTCTAGCGCACGCTACGGCCGCTGACCGGCCCTGCTCTGCTGTCCTGACCCTGCTACAGCGGACAGACCCCTCCCGGGATCACCCTCGAGCCAGTGATCACTCCGCCGATTGCCACTAACCTCTGCCACCCACACCTCGCGCACCTCTCTCGCACACCAAAAACTCCACCGCCTTCACCACTAACTAACACGACCTTCCCAGTCCAAGCCTTTTGAACTCTAAACACCTCTTCTTTCTCCTCCACCCTCGCGTCGCCCGTCGAATCCCCCTCTCCCCCCCTCGCTCTCGACCCTCGCGCGTGCGACTGGAGTTGGAGGCATGTTCCAGCCTCAACCCACGCCCTTCGCCTCCGCCTGCTTCGCATCGACGCCGTACGCCTTCCCGCCGCCGCCACAGCCCGTTTCGAACCCGAACCCGCCTCAGCCTTCGCGCGCCACGGCGCTGTCCTATGGCCTGCTAGGCCAAAGGCTCGACCTCGGCTTCCATATCCCTTCCAGCGGAGGACCTGCGCACAGCTCCGTTGCAGGCACGACGGCAGGAGCTGCACCGGGTCTTGCGGCCACAGGAATTGGCTCTGCGCCCGGTGTTCCTTCTCGAGGTCTCGCCTACAGCTCACCGCAGCCGCTGGGGCATTCTCGCCCGCCCCACCAACAGCAGCAGCAGCAGCGACAGCACATTTCGCCTGTATTGATCAAGATGGAGGACTCGGATCCGCATGGCATTGCGGCGCAACAGGCTGCCGCCAAAGACTACCAGCCAAATCTTGAGGTTCGTTGAAGAACAAAAAAAACCACTCCCACGCACGCGCCGGCCCTCACGCACGGACGTGCTGCGTCGCGCAATTGATCTCCCGGGACGACCACTCCCCTTTCCCTCCTCTCGGCGACTTGCTAGGCCGATCGCTCGCAAGCGTTCCATCCAAGGTAGACCAGACAGCTAACAGCCCGCAAATGTGTCTAGGGCCCCCTGGTTGGCGAGAAGACTACGACTTCGATTATCACTCAAGAGTATGAGAAGGCTGATGCAAGCTTCGTCGAGAAGACCTATGTATGTGCCCCCCTACACCACACCGAGGACCCTTGGGCGGGTGCGAGACAGCAGCGCTGACCTTAATCTTCATGCAGAATCTACCACAGACATTCCAGCATTACCGACCTATACAGGGTGACGGCAATTGCGGTTGGAGGGGTAAGTCGTTCTCATTCAATTGATTGTCCTTTGCAATAAATGCACTCATCTCATCTCCACCATGTCACGGGAGCTCTCGGAGGTCCGGCGTGCCCTCGCTCGAGGAAGGGCATGAAATCTGTAGATGGATCATCCCTGCACCCATGGATCGTCAATTATGAGACAGGCCCCGCATCTTCACCACTCTCTTCACCACTCCCGTTGTGTCTCGAAATTCCTTCTCCCGTGTGCACCGTTGCATCATCCCGCCCGGCTTGCCTCCCTAGGGCCGTCTCAGATTGGGCAGATATCGCTCGAGTTGCTGGCAGATGCTTCATGGCGTTGGCTCGTCAGATTGTTCCTGCCGGCCCCCACGTTTTTTTCTCTCCAATTGAGCCCCCTGTTCGATCGAGATCAAAGATCAAATGAGATGAATCAATTACTGACTAACTGGTCCTGTAACAGCCATTGGCTTCTCCTACTATGAGAAACTCATAGAGATTGGCAACAGAAGCCAGGTCGAGAGTGAACTGGCCCGGTTACGCGGCCTAAACCAGATGCTCCCCACTGTCGGCTACCAGTATTGGGAAGATTTTGCCGACGAAGCTCTCGCGCTGCTCCAGGACGTTGCGGACAATATTGGCAACCCGAGTATAGCGCATCAGCTGATTTTCCAACGGTGGAACGATGATGGGGCGACCCAGAGCATCATTTACTACTTCCGCATGCTGGCCGGCATGTTCCTCAAGATGCATTCTGCGACATACGACCCATTCATTGCCGACGCCGGCGGCATCCCTGCCTATTGCAGCAGCACAGTCGACATTCCCAACAAGGAAATCGAGCATCTAGGTATCACAGCCCTTGTCGACATCCTCCTGAAGCCCATCAATGTTGTTTTGGAGATTCTCTACCTCGACCGGAGCCCTGGCCCTCATGCCACCACCTACCGGTTCCCCGAAGAGGCCAACGACCAAGATGAATCACAGCTTGGCGCCGTCATTTACTTGTTGTTCCGCCCTACGCACTACGACATCTTGTATCGCGCCCCACCACCGCTGCCTGTCGAGGTACCGCAGCACCCAGTGTCAATCCAGGTTCACAGGGTCAACACGTATGACAATGGTGGTGGCATAATGAGCACCCAGACCGACCTGGGCGCTTTCGCCACGGGCGACTTCAGCATGCTGAGTATGCTTCCGGGGTTCGGTCCCCCATCAGGGCCCGTGATGCCTCTGGCCTCGCCTCTCGCCTCTCCTCCAACAGACCCGATGGGTGAGCCATTCTCGCCTGCTTCGCAGTCACAGCCCCCCTGGGCACAACAGTATTGTGATGGCTTGACGACGCCGTCCCCTCAATCCACCACTCAACATCCACCAGTTGTGGCACCAGCACCTCCTTCCCTTCCCAAATCCTCCACCCCGCTTTCGCCACACACGACAGCAACGGCGGGAGTGACAAGACCCGCACTCATGGCTGCACCGACTTCACTGGTCCCTACTTCACCTGAATGCACCATACGTTTCAGCCCGATGCAGCTTGAATACGACGGTAGCAAGGGGTCATACCCAGAACCCACATTCCAGGTAACGACAAGCACGTTCAAGAACAGTGTGTGGAACAGGGCGCACTTTGGGAACCCTGACTTTCACCCGGAGGAATGGAGCCCCGATGACGAGAATGTCGACGGCCGGATGGGCTCCAGAAAGAAATCGAAATAACGCCCAGAGCATGGTGCATCGCCCGCGTGAACTTATACGCATGGGCGCCTGCTGATGATCAGTACTCTTCCGTCGCGTTCTGCGTATGGGGGAGTTGACGGTGATTATGGAGATGCGGCGCCGCAAGTTAGATATTCTTTAAGTTTAGTCAGTCATACATAAGGAGGGAGGCATTTTGATTTGGGCAGCAACAGAGGCTGAGAGCCAACGGCGTACCTGGGGGGGCATTGGGGCCTAGAAGGATCCTCGAGAACGATGTTATGATTTCTTCCGGCTGGTTGGCACTTGCATACGTTTATTTCTTTCTGCGTTGGTCGGCACCATTCTCCCTTTCCGTCTGCTTTGCCCTTATTCTGACCTTGCTTTTCTTTTCCTTTGTCCCTTCATGTCACGCTTACGACTCTCCGATTGATGTTGCCTCTTGCATGATACAGGAGATGGTGGATTTCTGATTTTTTTTCTTGCATGTTCTTTACGAGTCATTGTTTTTGCCACCACATCACTGCTCATGATAGCGATTGATTCTTCTGCGTTTGAGAAATGGCATATTTCTGCTTCCGAATCTTTTTCTTGAGTGCTACTCTCATTCACTCCTCGCCTCTTTGTTTTGTTATTTTAATGCCTCATGGCGGATGAACCTGCTGATTGATCGTCCCATAGCATCGGTGTTCTCGTTCCTTGCATTCCCACTCCCTTTTTCTCATTACGATGTTCGATACAAGTCGGAAACGTGGGTTATATATAGTCGGTAGTGCAAGAGAGTGTGTCTTCCCTGCCGCATCGCGACCAAAACGTGAATTCATTTGCTAAGTACAAGCTCCAGAGCAAAGTGCCGTAGACCACCAGTCAGCCAAATGCCATCGATGTAGTCAATTCTACCATCCGCACCCACCGATATTTTTAGGCGGCTTGGTTATTTTTAGGGCGCGTATTTTTCCCGTCCGAGTGAAAAAGCCCAAACCGCCATCGGGGATTTTGGTCCAGAAAGTCCCTCGGCTACATACAGCCTTCCTCACCGAGCTTCAACCACCTCCCCCCTTCCCCTCCCCTCCCAACGACCAAAGTTCTTTATTTGCGTTTGCGTTCGTGGCAGGGGGTGACCGTCTAGGGCACGACTACTGCAAGCCTCGCGCCGCACTAGGTGATGTGGCTACAGCCCGCCTCGCCTTGCATGTCAGCATCCTCCCTCGTTGGTTCATTCCATTCGAGGCTAAGATGGACGACCAGGCAGAGGATCCGGTGATGATCCCCACTCTCGCACTTTGCTGATGGTCTTTAGCTCGCAGAACAGTGTTGGATTTCTTGATTGCCTTGTTTTTTCTTTCTTTTTCTTTTCTTTTTGCTTTTTTTTCTGGTCCACTGTTCTTTTGGCCGAGTGACCCCCACGGGGAGGCTAGAGAATGAAGACTTGTGATTCAAACTGCTGATGAGTGTTTTATTTGCTTCTTCTTCTGCCAACCTACTGCGGGACTAGCCTGCCAGAGATGGAACGGGGGGGATGGGCACATTTCCGATGCACTGGCCTGCGGCAGGATCACGAATTGTGGCTGCCGAGTCGGCACGTGCATCAATCCGTTCTCTCACCCACCAAAACTCGTCGTGAGGTCAGGGCTCATAATTCAGGACTCGGGCGTAGAGGAGCGACGTATGCGCGAGGGCATGTGGGTGGCTATTACAGGCAGGGCTGGTTACAGGCTAACGACACTGTTGGTTCCAAGGCCTGCCCCAATTGAAAGGTTTGGGTCTTTTTTAGCCGGCCTGGGAGTTGAGGGGGGAGTGTGTCCTGCATGTAGGAACTTAATTATCGGCCTTTTTTTCTCCTAGTTGCTAGGTCAAGGATGCAAGTAGGACGAGGGGGCCCTGTGATGTTTAGAACTTGGGTTACTGGGCGGGATCGAACTTCTTGTGAGGGAGGGGGATTGTGAGCTGCATGGCACAGGGCCGCATGTGTGGATTAGGTATAGAGTCCGAGGCGAGCATGTTGGCACCGTTCAGGGCAGAGCCTGGCTGCTTCATGCACGCTCATGGTCTGTTTGCCATGTTGGTTAACTGTATGCATATCTTGTTGGCTGCCCCGTGGTTAGGACTGTCTCCCATGGCTATTTCCATCACGGTCTGTTCAGCCTCGGCCGTGGCTGTTTCTCCACACGGCTGGGGCCGCTTCCGGGAAGAGATTCTTTGCGTGCCTAGTTAGACTGCTGTGGGGGATTCGTAGCAGCTGGAGGATCAGCAAGCGAGGGTCTCTGGTCAATCTGCCAAGGCTCCGTGAGTGGAGCTGGTGGTAGAGTTAACAGATGGGTGCATGTACAGGCATCCAACCCAGTCCACTTGAAGGATTCACAAGGTCTTGGATAAGCCTGTAGGAAACTCGTTGAAGGGTTCTGGGTGTGTATAAGCTGACAGTGCCCATATATTGTGCGCGGAGGATCTCCTCACAATGAACAGTCACATCTTGGCATCAAAGTAGGGTCAAGAGGCGAGGGATGCCTACGGCTCGCTGAGGTCATCGCGTAGGTCTCAAGTACATCATATCGGGACCTTTCTTCTTCTTCTCTTGTCTTTTTCGCAAGGCTCGAATGATTCCGTCTGATGATTTCTTACCAGGATTTAAGGCTCTTTACGGGAGCGTGATCGAGACTGCTTGCAAGTACGCATTGAAAGTATCGTATTATGAAAACCGTCTATAAACCCGTGAGAATACCGCCTTTAAAATGTAGCTTCATTCTAAACAACCGAGCTGTTACTAAGAAGACCAAGATCATAATTGGGTTTTGGTCTATAAAGAAGGCTATCGGGTCCATATCTCCTCACCCACTAAAGGAAGCGTATGATGCCACTTAAATGACCTTGCGCCATTTACAGATATATAACAGATTTCCCAGATGTGGTGTTCGGAATGTTTGAGTTGAGAACGGCCATGTCCAATTCAAGACGCTTTGGTTATGAGTATCTTGCTCCTCGGAGATACATTTCGATCTACTTTGTATTAACACCTCTTTTTCGAGTTTCCAATATGCAAGTCACTGAGATTATGCATTGAGCATATTGGCATGGTGGTGGTTGAGGACGATAAAACACATACGTGGGCGGACACGCGACACCATGCAAACCCAGTTTTGATGATGCTTGGTGTCGCCATGTGCACTCAAGAGGCCGTGCCATGCAATGAGACACGTCGGAATTGATGGTTGGCGATCTGGATTACTCGTTACCATCGAGCGGGGCAGTTAGTGTGCGGCTGAGCCATGTCGTATTGCTCGCTCTCGACAACTCCCTTGAGATCAGGCCACGCCCGGGGCGTCATGAGCCGCAGTCTGGTTATGGTGGTCTAGAGGCACATATTGATGAGTATTTATTCTCAAATCTGTTGTCGGTGAGCGCCTTTGTAAAAAGCAAGATATCTAAGTTTGATCGTCACAAGAACCAGTTAGCCCTCTTCATTACCTATGGCTACTGTCACTACCGACACAGATACACAGATACAGGCGCGGAAGTGCTACACACTTACATGGGTCAAGTTCACTAAAAAGTACGAGTTTCACCATTTCGAGCCCAGCCAGGATCCCGGCAGCCCCAAAGGCAAGACGGCCTCCTACGTCGTCTCCTCCAGCGTCTTCAACCGAAGCAAGCCCCACCTGACCCTCCATGTCGGCCCGGACGAAAAGACGGCACCCCCGGTCGCCTGTGTCTACGAGCCCTTCTTCACTCGGAGCTGGAAGGTTGGGCTCGGAGACGTCGTGAACTTCCCCGACGCCGTGGTCTGGGAGGACATGCGGAAGGAGACGTGGAACTACTCCAAGCTCAGCTGGAGCACGGTCAGGAAGGACGGCACCCCTGTGAAGTTGGCGTGGAAGCGGACAACCCACCATGCCATTGATGGCAAGACCCCGTCGCACCTCAGCGGTCGAAACTTCAAGCTAGTCGAGGAGGATGGGGGCGGGAGTAATATCCTGGCCGTCTTCACTGCCGCGTTTAGCATTTCGATCTACGGCAGTGTTCAGATTAATGTGGACTGGGGTGACAACTTCGAATACATGGTTCTGATGACCATTGTGACGTTGTACGAGGTGAATAGTATAAGGAACTTAACCCTGAAACAAAGGTATAAGACTAACAAATCTGTATAGGCTATTAACCGATAATCGGAATGGGTATAAGACCTGGGGTGGGCAGATTTAGGTCTGGTTTACTGCAGCATCCTTTAATATGGGTGGACTTGAATATGTTGGTTTGTCTTTCTCTAGGTTTGTTTCAAATGTCTGAAATTTGCTCTGAAGTCTTTGCTTTAACACACGTGTATAACTGTATATATGTATCAATTGCTAGGATCCAAACCAGAAAAGTAATATTGTATCGAGAACAGGAGAGGCACTCACAATCAAACGTTTTTGCTGTATTCAACCTTGGTTTGAGCATCAAATCAAAAGACTCTTACTCGCGGCCTTAGAAGATAAAAGTATATAACTAGGTATTGCGAACAGAAAATGCTCTTCTTCTAGTCGACATCGCTTTCCGAAAACGGAGAATTACAATCTCAGCGTGGGAGTATGGACAACCCATGATAATGACAATCTCTTTGAACGCTTATAAACATTATCCTCTATCAAGGAATAAAAAAGAAAGCTAAACTCCAAAGAAAGGGGAAAACCCAACATGAACGGATTTATAAATTTCACACCTTGCGTATACATTTAATCCTTCCTACCAAAATTGACACCAATTTCATCTATCGTTAATCATTGAATGCTCGAACGAAAACTTGCGAGAGTCCTCTTATTTCATCTCAAAATACTCTCACTACCTTCCCGTCTAAAATCTTCTGGTTAAATGGGTAGTCGGTATATCCCTTGGGTGACTGGACTAGGTAAAATGAGCTCGTATCATATCGAACCAGAGGCTCGCCAGTTTGAACCCTCTTTACCAAGTCTGGGTTGGAAATAAATCGCCTGCCAAAAGCAATAATAACGTCAAATGAATGGTACGTCTCCTCGACCGCCAAA